AAACATACCTGGTCACGTCCATGATAACACATCCACAAGAAAAACCCAAAAGCAGCAGGGATTGTCAAAGCTTTAGTATAATGGCCTAGCCAGGCAAAATATATTGCTATTTTAACTCCAAAATAATCACAGATGTCATCTGAAACAAATAAATACTACTTAAACCATTAAGTTTCATAAAGCAAACAGTTCACAGAGTGTTTTATGTAAGCAATACGGCTATGAAAAAGTATACGTTGTTACAGAAATACTACAGAGCTATTTAATCAATAATGGGGTCATCCCAATATGTGATTTTAACAAGCAACTAGATTAAACACTGTACATAGTGTTTTATGTAAGCAATACGGCTATGAAAAAAGTATACGTTGTTACAGAAATACTACAGAGCTATTTAATCAATAATGGGGTCATCCTAATACGTGATTTTAACAAGCAACTAGATTAAACACTGTACATTCCCATTTAAGGAAAATGTTATTTTCACTTGAACAAATGTAAAATCATGTAAACTAGTAAATTTAAAATACTGAAAAAACTTCAAGTTGTTACTTGAAGAATCAAGGTAGTATTAACTGGTTCAATTTTTAGATAGTGCTGAAAATTTTCAAGTACAATTGAGAATTCCCAATTTTCTCTTAGAGCTATTTCAAAGTTCCAGGACTTAAAAGTCAAATTATTACTTTTATTTCTAAATAGCTAATCAGAATATCTAATTATTTTCTTTACTTTACAATTATATTTCATTTTTTTAATCAAACAACCTCAGGAAGTTAATTGTTCTCGTCTTCAGCTGTAATTCGGCAACTTTACAGACATTAATTTGTATTTTAAACAAATACTACTTCACTAAGCCTGACAATGAACATCGTATGGTCTTTAGTTTCTTACTGTTCTTATACAGAGTGTTTCGTTAACTTTCACGGCCAGCTGCCAAGTAAAGTATTAAATCACTAGTCCCAACACTTTTATATCGAGCAGATTAGTTTTATGTACGACTGAAGGCTAGAGTAAACAAGTGTGTTCAGTTTATTATCATGCAACTTCAACTGATTTGGTTCATAGGCATTGGTAGATAATGTAATCAGTGGAAGAACCCACCTTTTGAGAGTTTATTACCTTAACATGTACTATCCAATCATTTCTGATCAGATATCAATTTTGCAATGAATCGGATAATCAGACAGCATTTCCATTAATGTATTATCTCTCAGTATTACGTGAGCATGATACTATTTGCATGTCCAATATAAATAATAGGTATTGTATAGCTTAACCTACTGGTGCTATCTACTAGTTTATAAACATAGTAGCATTTCCCTATTATTAAAGAGCATAGTTATAAAACAGTTAGTTATGTCATTTAAATAAACATCACGTCCACCCGTTTTGCTGCCACTGTATGCTGCAGATGCTCATGTAGTGGCAACTACAGCAATGTGAAGTACAAAGTCTTAACAATGGATTGATTGTGTAAAATACTGTTTCAGGGTGCCACATTCCTTTAAATGGCCTACAATGTTCACTATCTTATGTAGAACAGTACATTTTCATTAAATGTGTTAAAAGCAGTGACTAGGTAACTATAACAAAGTAGCATCTCACTCTTTAGGGCGCATTTTAAATATACATGGCCATGTATACTATTGAATATCAGAAGCATAATATCTACTTCTGATCCAAACTACCATCCATTCCATTCCTACATAATGTAACTATATTAACAACTACTATCCATCCCATTCCTACATAATGTAACTATATTAACAACTATTATCCATCCCATTCCTACATAATGTAACTATATTAACAACTACTATCTGTCCCACTCCTACATAATATAACTATATTAACAACTACTATCTGTCCCATTCCTACATAATATAACTATATTAACAACTACTATCTGTCCCATTCTTACATAATGTAACTATATTAACAGCTACTATCTGTCTCACTCCTACATAATATAACTATATTAACAACTACTATCTGTCCCACTCCTACATAATGTAACTATATTAACAACTACTATCTGTCCCACTCCTACATAATGTAACTATATTAACAACTACTATCTGTCCCACTCCTACATAATGTAACTATATTAACAGCTACTATCTTTCCCATTCCTACATAATGTAACTATATTAACAACT